CCACTGTACGCAATATACCAGACGTCAACACCGTTTTACAGTATGATTTATTTCTCACTCTTTTTAGCGGGGTTTTAGTTTGTTTTGAAATTTTTTTTTTATATTTTATCTCACGATGAATGTAGTTTCTGGAAAGATAACATTAATAATGATTAGTTAAATGTTAATGGTAATGAGAAAAGTTTTTGGGAACTCTAATAATACGTGTACTTGGTTCTAGGAATATTATCTCCCTTTCAGGTTACATTTGGTTTAGTTAATGTTTGGACTCTTTATTTATGGATAATTTCAACAAGCCGAATTACCTACTGTCATTTTGTTCAGTCTTATGATCTGAATAAGCAAGGGAGAATTCCAAAAAAGATTTTGCTCAGAAAACATGTACATAAGTGCTTTAATATGATATAGAAGATATTCATTAAGGTGTATAGCTATTTGTATCTTATATATAACTTGAATGTTTTCCTTTCTTTCTTATGTTTTAGTATGGTTTGGTAATGTATGAAGCTATCCTAATACTGTCTCGACAACAAATTTTGCACATTAAGTGGTCCACAAAACTTACAACACACTGGATACTGCAGGTACGCAAGGTGGCTTAAGACAGTGTTTACAACATTGTCTTTTATTTTTCATTATCATAACAGGTTTCTGTAATTAATATCTGAGTAAAATTGAGTTATTTTCCATTAAATTAACAGAGATATCTGAGTAAAATTTAGTTATTTTTCCATTAAATTAACAGAGATATCTGAGTAAAATTTAGTTATTTTTCCATTAAATTAACAGAGATATCTGAGTAAAATTTAGTTATGTTTCAATTAAATTAACAGAAATATCTGAGTAAAATTTAGTTATTTTTCCATTAAATTAACAGAAATATCTGAGTAAAATTTAGTTATTTTTCCAATAAATTAAGGGAGATATCTGAGAATATTTTTCATTATTCTTGTAAGAGTAGCTCTCAAGATTTGTCATGGAAAAGTAACAATGATTTTGAACTATTTGAAATAACACCCTCGGAAGTAGTCTGTTGAATTCTGTTTTTCCTAAAGAGAGCATTTCTTTGAACAAGTTGGAATGTTATCGTTATGTTCAGTACATGAAAAGTATAAAATACAAAAGTTGTATGGTTATCTTAAATCAACATTTTTGGGGTCTTAAAATGATATTTTATAAATATGATTATATTCAAGTTGTACACTGCTGATACGCTGCTAAACACAACAGAAATTTTAGATTAATAAACTATGTCGGGAAAATATGAAGTGTATAAAACAATGCTATTTTACTTATACTCAATCAGATTGGAAGTGTTAAAAATTAGAAAGGAAAATTAGGTCATCAAAGAGTGTAAAGTTGTTATTGTTTTTTTCGGTATATACTGTATGTTTTTTTTGTTCAGTTTTATTGTATTGCAAGTTTTACTCTATTTATGAACATATTATATATAATTCAACTTTCATATTTTGGATTTATTTTTTAAAAACACTGGTTTAAAACAAACTATGTGACAGATAAAGAGGAGTTTCGAGGTTTTCAAACTATAAGGGTTGTTGTTTATGGTAATAATTGTTTTAAAGAGAATACATGTACCAAGAAAATTTTTAAATTACTGTTAAATCAAATAATAGCAAGAAGGGTAATAGCATTTATTTAATTTGATTATTTTTGATACACTATGATAAAATATATAACTTTTTAAATATTTTAAAGTGTCTGTTGTGCGTGAAATTTAAAATTTTTAGTCATTTGGATTAATAAATGCCTCATTTTCTGTGGAGATTTTACTCTGGTTTATTTATACTTCTAGGGTACGGTAGTTTTGTTAGCAACAGTGGGATTTCTGGTGATTTACCAGAGTAAAATATCCAAGGGAAAAAATCACTTTGAAACACTGCATGCTAAGTTAGGACTGGCGACACTTATTGCCACATTGGTTCAAGCTGTAGGAGGACTGTGTGCCAAGTACCCAAAGCTGATGAAAAAACAACTTAGGCCATTAACAGTCAAAACACTTCACAGATTAGCAGCATGCATTACATTTAACTTAGGATGTATTAGTTTAATAACAGGTTTGTTTTCCAACTGGTTTCTGGATCAAATGGCAGATTCAAACCCCTGGTGGAAAGGGCTGGCAGCACTACCACCTGTTATGGGTGTAATTATTGTGTTGCAGGTTCTTAAGTCATTTTTACCTTATTTCAAGAAAAAGTAGGATATTACCCTAAAAACAAGGTTGGTGTACTTTATTTTGATAACATAAGCAGTAATTTAAATGCCAAATTGACTTGGTTAAATTGTGGCTTCTGCATATGAATGAGAAAGCTTTCTTTCGTGACATAACATATGGAAAACAAGGAACCTTTTGGTCCTTTCAAGGCTGTCGTTGCACACCCACTTTTTCAGAAGAGCAAAATTTTAAACCCACCATTTATTTTTCAGGAAATCAATGATTCCTCTCTTGAAGTCTTGCGAAGTGCTGATCTCCATTATTTTCAACAGCAACTCATTTAATAAGCCAATTAGGCTGCAGGAAAAATCAAAGTTTCTTAATTGTCTTGTCTTTTTCAATTTTTAAATTTGTGTCCTCTTCTCCTATTCAATGTCTTCATAATGCAGTACAAATATAAATCAGAGGCCTATCAGTCCCCGGATAATCTTGACAATAATACTATGTCTATTTATTTTTTTGTCTTATTCAATTTTATTTTTATTGAAGGAAAGCTTAATCAAGATTTTAATGCATCGTGAATATAAAGTCTCCAGAATCAACATATTTTTGCATAAAGAATTTGGCAACATCAAGAGTTTATTGTGCAGTAATGATTTTCTTCTCTGTTTCTTAGATAGAGTAATTTGTGACTGTTGGTACAAGTGAAGTTTCTAGACCTTTAATTTCTTTAACTTTATCATGTATTGATGAAATGCTTTGTGTACTAAAAAGCAAACTGCAAAAATCTCATTAGATTGGTCCTACATGTACAGTTACGTTGTGTTTTTAAAGCAAGATCTGATTTGCATTATTGTTTTAAATATAAAAACAAAATTTCTGCACTGACAACATCTAATGTGATTTAGTGTTGTGAACAAAGTTATATCAGAAGATGGCTGCAGACATGTGTGCAAGAACTTCCAGCTTTAAGAACACCAATTCAGATTTTTTCAAGATCTTAACCATGCCAATGACAAACTAGGTCATTGTAGAAAACAGCTTATTCGTAAGTAGAATCTATCACTAACTTAACCAAGTCGTTTTAATAAATATAATGTTGCTTATGTTATAAAAATGAAGAAAATATATTCATGTAATTATGTTTCTACTTTTTATTTTTTGTCAGTAATTTCATAGATTCCCTAAAAGTAAGTACTTGTTAGTTGTGTCTACACATATATTGCTGAAATTTTTAGGGCAATATTCGATGAAGAAGTACTTTTTGCAAATTCATAAAATAAATATTAACACATCAGCATGTTAATTCTTTAATAATTTGTGAATTATTATGCTAATGTGTTGTTGTGGTTTTTTTATTTGGGACAGGCTGTGGATTTTTGCTTACTGCAATACTCATTGTTAGCTTTTTTACTGAAAAGAATAAATTTGTGTGATTATGTTTTCACTTTACTCGTTTTATTTTACTGAGGTGATTAATTAATCTCAATATGTTCACATATACATAGAGTTTTTTTCCCCAACATTCTTATTGATCTTTGTGTCAGTTTAAGTGGCTTGAGTTAATTGATGGAGAAATATAATACATGTACTGTGTTGTGTGTTTAGATATCTTTTTTCACCGTAATCAATATATATTTATATATAGTTGAAGTTTAGGCTGCATAGAAGCTACTAATTTACCCTTCTGAATTATTCAGCAGACAAATGGTTTAAAATGTTAGAATTAAATATGAAGTCCAGTTTATCACTTGATTTACTACTTATCTATTGTTAGTAACCCTGGACAAGAGCAAATTGAACAAATAACAGTATATCAAATAGAAATAACAGAATCAGTGATAAGAATAAAACAAATGTGAAATGAAAATATAATACTATGCATGTCAAGAAAACCATTTGCATAGATTTTACATGTGAAAGTAAATAAACAAGAGAATGACCAACCGTTATACATAAAAAAAAGCGTACCTCTATTTATTTTTTACTTCACAAAACAATACAAATAATATTTCAAATTATATTGTAACTTTCTTGAATATTTCTCTGATTAGAAAAGTAACTTTTTACTAGATATCTATATACTACTAAAACTCTGAGATTGTTTGTTTGTTTGTCTAGTGATTAAATATGGCAAAAATGGTGCACAATAGCACCATATTTATAATGAAATGATAATAGAAACAGAATAAAACAAGTTTCGTTAAAATCGGGCCACAGGTTACTGAGTTAGAGCCGTTTTTCGG